AATAAAATACGATTGAAAAGTTCAAGATGTAATCAAAAACTGAGGACGTGTTGCCAGAGTGTTTCCAGACTACTTTCAAGAACTGGCTGTGCTGGTTGCTCTTTCAAACAGCCATCCAAACAATCAAATGTGTCTGAGTAGGTATTTGATTCAATGCATCAAATCCACTACCATCAAAACAAGCAAATAAATATTGATCTAAACACGTATAAATCAGGCTTGGAAAGTAACAGCCTTCGATCAATTGTAAGCGTTTAAAAAAATCATCAGTCGTCATCCAGCTCTCGATCCAGCTATACAGTGAGTTCGTCGGAACGTCAGTTGCCACCATGCACAGTTCACTTTTTACTACCACCATCCCACCATGCCCAGAACCAGGACCAGGATGTTACTGCTGTTGATTCAAGTTCATGCTACCACCATCGTGCATAGGTATGTGTTTTTACTTTTATCATCACGCTTCACGTTCGCGAAAGCGCAAAAAAAAATATACGTTGATATGATTTGCAGTATTTTATAAGATTAGCGTCAAATAAATTTCAATGCGGAATTCATGAAGGGAGATTATGCTGTTTATGCTTCGCGGGAGCTGGTGTATGTTGTGTTGAACACCAGCAGTATCCAGATAATTCTCCAGTGTGAATAAAGTACGTTCTGTCAACAATGAAAATTATTATCAAATGCTATGGAAGATCTCCCGTAAGGTTTGGAATTCATCCTAACCGTTTTCCTTTTGCCATGGCTTGAGTTTAAGTGAACGATTGATATAGGCAATTTATGTATTAAGGCATCGTTAAAAGTTGAAAGTAAACAATTTGTATACGTAAACATAGTTTTCTATGAATTTATCTGCTTTGGATTATCTTGCCAATTGAGAGTTCTAAAGAAGTTGGCTGAGAGTGGATGAATGAAATATGTAAGCTACATATAAGCAACTGGTAGTGATAGTAGTTTTGTACATGTAGGTACATGAGGTACAACAATTTCTGATTGAAGCTTACACGGCCGCTAAGAGTTACTCAACATTGTGTAGGATTTCCTTAGTTTTGGCTAAAAATCGGTGACCGTTACTCTAGAATTAAGTAATCAAGATACTCCCGTTTTTATTAAAATAAGTGAAATTCTACTCAATTTTGAGTCAATCACAGTGGCCGTGCAGTGCTATCCTCTTTTATGTTTGATAATTTCTAGAGTGGGTTGGTTGGATATGAGCCAAACTGAATGTCAATATTTATTTGCTTGTTTTGATGGCAGTCCATTTGATACGTTAAATCAAACCCGGGGAGTAATTCTTATCATTAATGGTAATATCGCAAAGTGTGTACCCTTCGTAAATAAATGCTACTAATTGTAGAAATCATTGCAAATTATGAACTTCCATTCAACTAGTTCTTATAATCCAATGATGCATAAAACGGCACGATTCAATTAATTTTCCAACCCATCCTCCCAGCTCGGACAACAACTATCCAGCTGCTCTCGAAGTACATCCTTTCAAACACTTTAACGAAGAATCACTTGAGATCAACAGGCTGGGCCCCCGCATTCTCCGACCGAGTTCATCCTCTAAGATACGTATGTACCTATCTGAAAGCATTTCCAGCACAAATAGACGTTTTGCCTTGGCTCTGCTTGGTCTGGTTTTGCTGCGATGGGATAAAGAACCCATCGACAAGGAGTACACTTTTTCAATTGCGCTCTCGATGCCAGGTGCCAGCAAACGGAGCCAACAGGTTACAGGTCTTTCTACGGCACGGGTAGACCGGCCGAAGGGATCAAATCGAATTGAATTGGAGATAATCTCCGGAAAAGTAGATTTTCACATAAATTTTCAAATTAGTTCTTGCTTTGGGGTTGAATTCGCCATATACCTAGATACGTTCGCATAAATATTTCGTGGCACATTACAACTCGACCGCTAGTGCGATTCAATCTCCCATCCCTAAGCGGAAACTTTTCGAATGAATTTAAAGTTGTAATTAAATTATTCCCATTCACCTCTTTTGCACCCCAACCAGCACTACTTAAAAGGAAGCTTATTTTTGCGCTGAAAAGTTGCACACTGAGCCGTTGCCCGATTGAAGGTTTGTCCAACGAAAAGTAAATCCGGTTTTAAAGCCTAAAAAGGCGTTAGATCGAGCGAGCCAAGGTTGAACGTAATGTCACGCTGCTGAGTGCTGGAAAATGGGTCACGTGACTAGCGTTAAGCTATTTGCAATTCTGAAGCAAATCGTGACGGGTCCGGTCGGATCTCCTGGAAGCAACATGACAGCTGGTTCCATCGAGGAAGGGGAGGAGCATGAGAAGGACTAATGCAATCGTAAGTAGTAAGTATTCATTTTCCTATGAGTAGGAAAGCTCCGGGGTGGATTTTTTTTTCTCCGCGTTCCTTTTCGCACGATAAGTTCCAATGGGAGCGGGTGAGCAAGCGAGCGAGTGAAACTTTGTTCGCCATTTTAATGGATGTTTTTAAGATCTTTTGCCGATTAACTATTCCGCCGCCTTAATCCGATTACTGGGGAAAGTTTTGCAACCCTATGCAAGGGATACGGAGAATCAAAGAAGGGACGATCTTCTGCATAAATGAGAGCTGTACACGATGAAAATCGGCTAAGGTGGGGTGGAATGCAGGGATTCTTCTTACGAGTTGCAAGTAATTCAGGAAGCCTTGAAGATTACTGACCACAGAACAGAAGAATAAGGTACGCAATGTAACAGGTACATATTGGAAATCTAGAAGAGAGAACTTTCAGGCCAAATAGTAAAAAACAAAATTAATTTAAGACTTGAACTTCTTTGATTTTCATGAAACTTTACATCATATTCAAAGTGTTTTTATGTTACTTCATGCGCGAAGTTTGCGATTTTCAGAGTTGGTTGATAGTGATATCTAACAACATGTTAGATAGCATTTCCAACCAACTCTGAAAATCGCAAACTTCGCGTATGAGGTAACATAAAAACACTTTGAATGTAACAACTCAAGGTGGGAGTAACCGTCAACAATGCTGATGACGGTACAGCACGCAACAACTACCCTACTGCTTTCTCTCTGAGATGACTACGTGAATACTCCGATAACCGTGATCGAACCATTGCCGAGACTTGTTGCTTGACCTAGGTAGCTGCCTGACCAATGCCAAGAACCAAAATATCTACCCTTCGGTGAGTAATCTGCAGAAGCTGACTGAGACGCTCTGAGATAAAATTGCTCTCCGATCCAGAGTCAGAGAGAAGAGCTCGAGCTGGAATCCGATTGCCGTCATCATCCTGAACTACGACAACCGCTGTAGTCAGCAAAACCTTGGATGAGCATTGGTGGGCTGTACCTACCACCAAGCTGTCAGTAGCTGCCAGATAAACTACTTGAGGAGTAGAAGAGGATGAGGCTAGTCCTGACTGCAGTGCTTCTTTGCCTCCCTTGCCACATCAAACCAAATTTCATCTGTGCAGACTTGGATGGTAAGGATTCCAATATGCTGTAGCTAGCCCGGACAATACAGCTTAAATACGCGTGACTTAAGCGCCACTCCACAAGGGAGACCACACGTCCAAGGTTGATTTGCCCGGATGAGACTCTCCTAAGGGCGAGTCCATTAATTCCTAGAAAGGATTTACGGATCGTTCCAGACAGCTTCCAACTAAACGACCAAACGGAAATTCCCTATTATCCCCATGAATTCACACTCAATAAAGTCACTCAGAGAAACGGTACACTGTACACAAACATCATCCTCTGATCGAATGAAACCTAAGACCATTCAAAACAAAAGACCGAAATCACTTTTTCGAATGATAGCTGCAACCGGATGATGGTTGTTTTGAAATCAAATGATTTTCCTTTCGAATACTGGATAAAACTTGTTATGAAAAGGGATAGGGCTTTCAGTTGAAATGCGTAATGCTCTCTGTAGAATGACTGTCATACTAAATGGAAATGCATATGGTATTGGTTCAGCCCCATAACGCAAATCATTCAAAACGATGATGTAAATAATTCTATCGAACGTCATTTGCTGATCTGAGCTGACAAACGAGGTGGAAACATATGTGTTCGATCGTGGAGATCTAACTACCGGCCACCGGAGGTATTACTACCCGCTATTTCCAATAGCGGCACACCAAACCACGGGAAAGGGTAATTCGCCACTATAGCACACTTCACTATCGCAATGCTTCTTTAATGACCGTCGTGGGGTTTATTCGTCACGAATCACTCACTGTGATTATCACGCACGAAATATACGCACTCAATCGATTCCGTGATCGATTTATTGCCACCTTTGGCCACCACCGAGATCAATTTCGGATTTCGTGAGATTACTCGAATTGCACTGCACTGCTCTGAATAAAGGGAACGACTTGGGTTTGCTACTGGTTGCTTTGACTTTATATTTTGTACTGATGGGATTGTGTAACTTTGTTTTCATTGAATGGGTTTTGCATGTACAATAGCTTGTGGGTCGATCGTACAGTGTAGTGTATTATTGTGGTGACGGTTGGTGATTTAAATCTGTTTTCTGTTATTTAAATTTGTGTTAGGCTTAACTACTTTAGTTTGTTTTGGTTTGAATTCAATGTGACTTAATGCTAAATATTTACAAATGTTGGGTGATATTTACAGATATTTACATGTGACCGTATACTTATCATTCCGGCCACCTTGAAACAGCAACACTGTTTCAATCTCTCTCGTGCTACGTTCCTCTCTCATGATTCTCTCGGACATCGGCTGAATTCGGCGAATACGAAGACTGTCGTAGATGGTCAATTCAATTCATCGATTGGGTGACGTCTGAATCGATTCATTCAGCAGATGGTGAACGGTGATTCGGTTGTATCGACGAGAGTAGAATGGTGCTCTGCAAATAAAGACCCGGTAGAACGCACAAGGAAAAGTAGAAACGTTGGAACGCTAATCACCTGTTAGCTGTTCATATATGCAGTGAGTCAGTTTCGGACTGCTCGGCCGATCTTTGTAGTTTCGGCTTGCAGTTCGACTATTGATGATCTTCGCATTCGGATGGTATTGGTAGAAGGGCGATTTTGGCGACTGGTCGCACGACGTTCTCTGCTTTAGCTGTTTTCATGCTGACGACGCGTACGGTACCATCCTTGCCTGGTTGCAGTTTGGTGATTCGACCCAGTGGCCATTGTGCCGGCGGGAGATTTTCGTCTTTGATGACCACGATCCGTCCCAACTGTAGGTTAACCGGTAACTTGCAGCCTTTGCTTGCCCGGGTTTGCAACTGGGCGAGATATTCTGGATACCACCTTGCCCAGATTCGTTGAAAATGCTTTTGGGTACGTTCCCAGTGATCTAGGCGGTTATCTGGAATTTCGGCGATGTTGGCTTCCGGGACTGCTTGGAGATTCGAACCAACAAGGAAGTGGCCTGGTGTCAACACTTCGAGGTCGGCGGAATCGCTGGGTATCGGAGTCAATGGCCGTGAGTTTAGACACATTTCTATTTGTGCCAATAGTGTTATCATGTCTTCTTGGGTGAAGGACGTATGGCCGGTTTCTCGTAGTAGGTGATGCTTACATGATTTCACCGCGGCTTCCCACAATCCTCCGAAGTGCGGGGCGCGTGGCGGTATAAATTTCCATTTGGTTTCTTGCTCTGCACACCAGTTGCTGATCATTTCACGGTCAGTGTTGTTGGCCTTCAGCATCTCGTAGACGCGGTGCATTGAATTTGCGGCACCCTTGAAAGCCGTTCCATTATCGGAGTGGAGTTCTTGGATACGGCCGCGACGAGCAACAAAACGACGTAGCGCGGATAGAAATGCTGGCGTTGAGAGGTCTGATACCAATTCAATGTGCACGGCTCTGGTGGAAAAGCACACGATGATTGCGATATATGCTTTGGTTGGCGGACGATTTCGAATTGGCGACTTGAGAAACACTGGACCACAATAATCTACGCCACAAATGGAAAATGGGCGCGCTGGCGTTACACGGGAACTTGGCAGGTCAGCTGTGCTTTGTTGGATGAGGGTAGGCTTAATGCGGAAACATTTGACACAACGGTGATAGGTGTGCCGAGCTAGATCTCTTCCTCCAATTATCCAATATTTTTGGCGTATGGTAGATATCATCAACTGGGGACCAGCGTGGAGGAGAATCTTGTGGTAATGTTCGCAGAGTAAACGAGACAATGAATGTTTAGCTGACAAGATGATAGGATGTTTGCTTGCTTCTGATACACAAGCATGCTCAAGCCGGCCTCCAACACGGAGGAGTCCATCGTCACTCAAGTGAGGCTTCAACCATTTCAACGGAGCACCTTTCACAACGGAAGAGGTTTGAAGTTCAGCTAACTCATCACAGAACGTTTGTTGTTGTGCTAGACGGGCTAATGCACGATCAGCATCTACGAGATTGGTTGTTGAGAGAAGTAGTGTTTGGTTTTCGGTGGACTTATGCACTGCAGCCTTGAGTGATTGGATGTATTTGATACAGTACGCTACAATACGACGGAGTTTGCTGTACGTAGAATAGCGGGAACATAGTTGATCGACGAATTGGGTTTGTTCGTTATGCAAAGTCACTAATGTAACCTTGCGTGCTTCTTCGGCGACCGATGGGTATTCTTCATCTGGTAGGCTTGCGTGTGGCCAATGACTCGGAGGTTGTGAGAGCCATGATGGTCCGTTCCACCATCGAGATTGGTTACGGAGATCAATAGGCGTCAATCCTCGCGATAATTCATCAGCGGGATTGTCACTTCCGGGAACGTGCTTCCAGGAATATCCTTCTGTGTTTGACTGGATTGTTGACACTCGATTAGCCACGAATGTTTTCCAGCGATTCGGTGTAGAATTGAGCCATTGGAGAACTGTGGTAGAATCTGTCCAGAAGAAAACATCAAACGTGGCTCGTATCGATTGTTCTACCTTCTGGAAGAGTCTGGTGGATAGCACAGCAGCGCTGAGCTCAAGTCGAGCGATGGAATGTTTAGTGGCGAGTGGAGCAACCTTTGACTTGGATGTCAAGAGTTGCACGTGGATACGATCATCATTCTCAGAACGAACGTAACAACAGGCGCCGTATGCCAACTCTGACGCATCGGAGAACAAATGAAGCTGAATTCTGGGTGCATCGGCGAAAGAAACGAAACGAGGAATTCGTAGTTCCGAGAGGATGTCCAGCGTGGCATGATATCTTTTCCATTCTTCTTGCAGTTTCGGTGGAAGAGGTCTGTCCCACTCGTAGGGTTGATTATCCTCGCCTTTTAGCTTCCAGAGCCGTTGCATAAACATCTTAGCAGTAGCAATAACCGGGCCGACGAGGCCTAGTGGATCGAAGATTCTAGCGATGTATGATATTACCTTACGCTTTGTAAGCACCGCTGCAGGAAGTGGCATTTCGACGTTGAATCTCAACATGTCCGTTCTTGTATCCCAAACAAGTCCAAGCGTGGACACTGATTGGTCATCTTGCAAATCGAAGAGGGGTTTGATTGCCAAGTCTTCGAGTGGTATTCCAGTCAAAGCTTCCGGAACGTTGGACGCCCACTTTCTCAATGGGAATCCAGCTGATGCAAGCATATCCGTGATTTGGCGACGTTTTTCGATAGCAGCATCCAGGTTGTCTGCACCGGAGAGAAGGTCATCAACATAAAAATCTTCGATGACAGGTTGAACGGCTTCCGGATACTTGTCTCCTTCGTCTTTGGCCAACTGTAGCAGGGTTCGAGTTGCCAAGTATGGAGCTGATGCTGTACCGTATGTGACTGTGAGGAGTTCATATGTGTCGAGTGGATCCGACGGATTACGACGAAACAGGATGCGCAACAACTGCTGATCAATGGGATAATGAAGAACTTGTCGATACATCTTTTCCACGTCGGCAACGAAGGCGATAGCATGGAAGCGGAAGCGAATGGTAATGTTGACGAGATGCTGTTGTACAACTGGACCAACGAGAAGCGTGTCGTTCAGTGATACTGCGGAAGAGGTCTTGCAGGAGGCGTCGAACACCACACGGACCTTGGTGGTGGTACTACTCTGCTTGAACACCGGGTGGTGTGGTAGGTAACAGTGTGGCAAATCGTCGTCAACAATAGTGAGTTTCCGCATATGGCCAAGGCGTAGATATTCGTCGATAAACTCGTGGTAGGTTTGCTTTAAGGCGGAATCTTTCTCTAGGCGTCGCTCGAGACTATGGAAACGACGGGTGGAAATTGCTCGAGATTCGCCGAGGGTGACTTGCGGATCTTCGGACCGAGGAAGGCGTACGACGTACCTTCCGGAGTGAGTTCGGGTGGTAGTGTTGGCATAGATTTCTTCACATTGCTTTTCTTCAGTGGAATACGCCAGGCCATGATCGACAGCTTCGAGTTCCCAGAATCTCTGAAGCGTTGTTTCGAGGGATCGATCGACAGTCGATAAGTAGCAGGCGGGTGGAGAAACAGCGGAATTGATGGCAGTTTTTCCAGATACTGTCCATCCAAAAAGGGTGTCGATTAGGAAAGGTAAACCGTCACCGAGTGACAGGCGGTTACCAGTGTGCATCTCATGATAACACTCTCCACCGATGATAATGTCGATCATGCCTGGAACGTTGAAGGTTGGATCGGCCAGTGGAACCTTTGGTATGTTCCACGATGCGGAATTGATGGCAATCGTTGGTAGATTGGCCGTGGGCTTTTTCATGATCAGGAACTCGAGTGTGGTGGAATAGGACGTGGTTCGTGATTTAATCGTTGCTGCGATTTGCCGCTTGATTTGCTTCACAGATTCTCCTATTCCGGCTACTGCGACATCGACCGGGGCTTGACGGGTGGCAAGTGCATTTGCCAGCTTCTTGGTAATGAAGTTTGACATCGCAGCAGAATCGAGCAGAGCTCGAATAGATATTTCTTTACCGTGCTTGTCGACGATGTTGAGCACAACCGTTTCCAAGAGGACCGTGCTTCTGCTTGACTGGACGGAGAGGTTCATTTTGGGTGGACTCGATGATCCAACGGTCCCCACGTTTGCTGACGTGGTTAGAATTGGTTGCTGCGTAGGTGTATTCGACGGGCCGGCGGTAGTAGCCTTGGGTACAGGATTCGGTAACACCTTTGGAGGTGCAGCTTGGTCATGCAACAACGTGTGGTGTTTAGCGTGACACGATCTGCATGAGAACTTTGATTTGCACACCTTCGCTTGGTGGTTCGGGCGGAAACAGTTCCAACATAGACTTCGCTGCGATATCAACTCACGACGCTGCATGACAGGTAGGTTAGCAAACGTCTGACATTGAAACAGCTGGTGCTTCTCCGAGCACGCATGACATTGCGCAGCATTCGGCTTGGCTTCGTTTGTAACAGTGTTGACAATGGACTTGATTGTAGAGACCTTCTTCGGGGTGACACCAACCACATTAGTGCTAGCTCCTCGAGAACGATGTTGCAGATCGTTGGATACTGACTTCAACATGCGTACTTGTTGCGTTAAGAATTCAATCAATTCATCATACTTAACTTCGTCTTTCTGTCGAGTCTCTTGCTCCCAGGCGCGTAACGTATATGAATCGAGCTTACTGCATAGGATGAATGTGAGAGGAGTGTCCCAATGCACAATGGGTTCGCCAAGTTTCCCCAAAGCCTTCACATGACGTTGGAAATCATCCACCAAAGTGTTCAGCTCCAGAGCTGATTCACGTTTCATCGGCGACAATTCAAACAACCGTCTGAATAGCTCTTTCCGCAAGAACCGCTTGTTATCGTATCTCTTCATCAGCGCTTCCCAAGTTGATGCGTAATTGTCCGCTTGGATGTCTACACTCTCAAAGGGTTTTCTGGCATCTCCTTCTAGTGATTGTAGCAAATATTGCAACTTGTTGACCGTCGGAATGTCATCATTGCTATGGATCATGGAGAGGAAATTGTCCCGAAATGAAATCCAGCGCGATTCATCTCCAGAGAACTTCGGCAAATCGATTTTTGGTAGTCGATGGTGGAAACTGGTCGAATTGTGAGGTGGCGCAAATGCAGACGACATTGTTGAGTTCAGGAGAGGTTGGTTCCGTTCCCGTTTGGAGAGAAGAAAGCCCTTCAGCCTGCAGAAGCGATTCTCGAAATCGGTCCGCATCTCCATGTGTTGCTCGAAGTTTTCCGCTGCATCCAACTTCTCTATCTCCGACTGTACATGATGAAACTCCTTATTCGTCCTATCCAACGTGTCAAGGCGGACAGAAACTTCTCCAGAATCCCGCTCGTGGTTGTATTCCGCCACGAACCTTTCCACCACATCTCGAAGTGCCAATATCCGTTTCAGGACCAGCTTATCCTCAGTCAGCTTCTTCTCCTTCTTTGATGCCATCACTTACTACCACCACGAATCACTTGACTGCGCGCACCGAAACGTGAACAACACAAGAAATCGAACGATATATCCTTCCCGTCGCGTTGTGCTGCTCAACCGCGAATTACGACGGAAACACCACGGATTTCGTACGTATATTTCCTTCCCGTCGTGACACGTGGTGCTTCTACACGGACACCGAACGAACGACCGAAAGAGATCACGTAATTTAGTAACGAATAATCGAATAATCCTTCCCGACGCGATTACGAGTCTCCTTTCATACGTTTCGCGGATCCGCTAGAACGCCACCGCACAATCGTAGGAAGCTTGAAATCAATTTAGGTCTATCGATTTTGTAGGTTTTCCACCGTGCCAACAAGTGTGTGCGACACTGTAAAGCACACCTAAGGCTATTTATCAAATTGGCTAATTGAACGAGCCTATGTGCCACTACAGCTGATAAATACAAAACTTCTACGTTGCGCCTATCCTATAGATAGAAACGATTCGATCGTTCTTCGCCTTTGAACTTCATGCAAACCTTTGTTCCTCATACAGTACGTACTATCACATTCCGTACTGGGGGCAAAATTTGGCGCCGTTAGCAATTGCAGCAAACTGCCAATCAATAGGGCATGGGTTGAATGGCCTACCTTCTGTGGTCAACGTCCTCTGACCACTTACCACGATGGCGAATTCCAGACTATTCGCGCGTCGATTTGGGCTGGGATGCTTCCTCCGATCCGGTTCGAAGGACCAATGTTCGATCGTGGAGATCTAACTACCGGCCACCGGAGGTATTACTACCCGCTATTTCCAATAGCGGCACACCAAACCACGGGAAAGGGTAATTCGCCACTATAGCACACTTCACTATCGCAATGCTTCTTTAATGACCGTCGTGGGGTTTATTCGTCACGAATCACTCACTGTGATTATCACGCACGAAATATACGCACTCAATCGATTCCGTGATCGATTTATTGCCACCTTTGGCCACCACCGAGATCAATTTCGGATTTCGTGAGATTACTCGAATTGCACTGCACTGCTCTGAATAAAGGGAACGACTTGGGTTTGCTACTGGTTGCTTTGACTTTATATTTTGTACTGATGGGATTGTGTAACTTTGTTTTCATTGAATGGGTTTTGCATGTACAATAGCTTGTGGGTCGATCGTACAGTGTAGTGTATTATTGTGGTGACGGTTGGTGATTTAAATCTGTTTTCTGTTATTTAAATTTGTGTTAGGCTTAACTACTTTAGTTTGTTTTGGTTTGAATTCAATGTGACTTAATGCTAAATATTTACAAATGTTGGGTGATATTTACAGATATTTACATGTGACCGTATACTTATCAATATGCATCGCTATCAGAGCTTTTACGAACAAAGGTAAAGGATGAAAACCAATGTTTGGCTAATTCGTGGTGAAGGAGGTTTTCTCCACCACGAATTTTTTTTGTATCCATGATGGAATGGCTAATTATGGCTATTCAGTATGGAATTGTACATAATCAAATTATAAATCTAATTAAAAGCACTTGCATGTCACACTATTCTTAAATGTTTGTCATCAGAGTGCCGTATGTTTTATAGCTAATTTTCAAACGAAAATCATCCTGCATTTGGATTACAGTCATATGGATGTTCATCATCTGACGACGAATTCAACCATAAGAAAATCATCCGAAATTCGAATGCATATTGTTAAAGGGCTCGAGCAATGCAATAATCATTCGAAGTATTGCGGATGTTTTGGTTCAGTGTAGAGCTCACGCATACCCTAAAACTCTACGAGAGAAAACTTCTCATCATCGGCCAGTCACGTCACCTGCCGCTAGACGTCTCCCTAATCTGGTAGTGGAATGTACTTCCCACCATTAAACACAACAAGAGGACGGGCCACGAAAATTAACACGAACGCGGAGTGATGTCAAACACATTCAAATAATTAAAGGTATATTCAGACTTGAGCGAGAACGAGAGTAGCGGAGCGGACTTCGGGTATTCGGGTGCGATCGGCTCTCTGAAGATGGCTTGATTGCTACCACGCCACAGCGGGCTTCAAAAAATACGTTCTCGACGATATTTTTCTAGCTACGCTTGGTGGAAATTATTGCTCTCTCGCTATCTCTGCATAGCATCGGCCGAAGAGAACGAGAATTGGCAACTTAAAAAAATAGGTAGGAACTGCGAGACTGCCGGAGTGATTCGTGATTTAGGCGTAATTTTTCCGTTTTAGTAGAACACCCAACGAAAGACACCGAATCGACGAATCCTGAGAGCGGAAGGGAGAGAAGAAGGTAGTGGTAATAAGTCGATATCCCTTTTATTTCATTGCACGCGCAGCTCAGCTGCGGTGCTATTTAGATGGAAGCTTAGCTACTTCTGCATGCTACTATGAAGAGGCTAGCATCGGTGTCTCTTATGTCGTAAGAACCAGTGTTACGAATGGGCAATGGGAGCACGGGCCACCCACCGTCTCGTATAATTCAATAATACATTATTTTATCATTTTATCATGCTAGTTTAGCCCATATTTGTTCAAAAACTTTGTTTAGAGCTTATTGGTATTATGAAAAAACTCTTATTATACAGTTTTTATGAATTTGCTATTTAAAAAATCAAGAAATTTGAGTATAACTTCGTTTTTAAAAAAAGTTCACTTTCCACGCATTAGCTATTCATCAGGATCATTTTCTCGGGAATCATTGACCCGATTTGGAAATTTTTTAACGTCAAACTATAGGTATTGTGGTCCCATTGAAAGCTATCGAATATTTTTGGAATCGGTCAACTGGTTCCGGAGATATGGCCGGAACAAGTTCCAGAGTATATGGAACATGGACCTAATTTTGACATGGAAGGAATAAAACCTATCATGCGACACTTTTCATAACTTCCAAATTCGATAACAAGATCAATAACAAAATTGAGTGCCTTGGACCACATTGGCCACTTCCGGGCCTGTTCTGGGTGCCTCCGGGGAATTTAGGGGCTTAAAATGGCAGAATATCAGAACTTAATTAAAACCGGACAGTTTTTTTTTTTCTACTAGGAGTTTTTTTTTTGGAAATAAGTTTCAGTTAGCAATTTTTAGTTTGTTAACATTTTATTTCAAGTTAATTCACACACAGAAGGTGCATGTGAAGTGCTTAATGTAAATTCATATTAACAGATTCTTTCGGCGCTTCCGTGGTAGTTCGGAAATCGGTGGTTACCCTTTCAACCAACCTGACGATGGAATTCCTCCTTTAAATTTACGCCCAACTAGTGACGCAAGGTCTTTAGCAGCTTACAAACCCAATCCGCTAGCTGGTTCTCCAAATCAACACTCAACACTATTTCCCTTCCATATTTCTTGCCGTGGCTTCCCTTAATTTTTGCGTCGTTTTCGGAATATTGTACCTTTTCTGTGCCTGATACGCGGTAAGTGATTTATTTCTTACTAAAAGAAAAGCCTCTTGAAGATTTTCGACCGTATAACTCTTTTCTTTAGCCATTTTTTCAATCGAAGAAACTGATCACTCGGAAAAAACGAAATCGAATTTCAAATCAGCTGCACATGAAGGATGTAGACAAACCGAAGCGCACCTAGCGGCCGTCTTAGGAAACACATAGGTCCAACCATCATCATGCATAGGTCCAACTATGATCATATTTGGGGCTGTCCATAAACTACGTAGACAGTTTATGGGGGGGGGGGGGGTTAACAATTATCCACGGCCCATACAAATTTAATTTTTTTTGTATGGACAATTGTCTACGCAGGGGGAGGGGGGGAGTCAAGAATCCCAAAAACCTGTCCACGTAGTTTATGAACAGGCCCTTTATCTATTCGAGTTTCGTCAATTATTCAAACATTTTAGTGAAACCAATGGATAAATGGCGTACTAACGTGCTGTTTACACCTTAAAGCAGTATTTTACTGCATGAAAATAAAAATAAATGTGAAAAATATTCCCTTTTTGTATGTTGGAAAGTAAGGCATGATGACGAGCTAATACGTGAAAAGTGAACTGTTTTGAAAACACATTAAAACTCAATTGTTTTGAAGTTTTTTCAATAAAACACCCATGCAAATTGAAGAAAAAGAGTTTTTTATGATAGTAAAGTGATCTTTGAAAATAAAAACTTAGCGAAGATTGACTAAACTAGCGATTGAAAAATAGGTCCAACCATCATCAGTTTTTGGATAGGTCCAACCAGAATCAATTACCCTACCTACCTATTTTTTTATGTTGCCAATTCTCGTTCTCTTCGGCCGATGCTATGCAGAACGTATTTTTTGAAGCCCGTTGTGGCGTGGTAGCAATCAAGCCATCTTCAGAGAGCCGATCGCACCCGAATACCCGAAGTCCGCTCCGCTACTCTCGCTCGCGCTCAAGTCTGAATACACCTTTACCGTAAGACGACGTCGTTCGCAAAGCCAACGATCTCAACTCGTTTGGGTAGCTTCAGCGTTAGACCGTTTTATATCACGTTCCAGAGCATTGGACCCAGGATGGAGCCTTGTCGAATTCCCACCGTGATCCTAATCGATCTCTGTCCCATATTTGGCTCTTAGATCAGAACTCGGTTCTGGAAGTAGCGTCGGCCTCCCAGCTGGAGCTGTTGAACGCATTCTTAACGTCGATCGTCCTCACGGCGTAATATCGATCTCCTATCTACTTCTGTTTCGACGCCTTCTCGGGTCTCTCGACAACTGTCCGAATTGCATCTACTTTTGCTATTCCTTTTCGAAATCCGAACTGCCTCTCCAACAATCCTTGCTCACTCTCCGTGCATTTCTTCAGCTTGTTTAGGACGATCCTCTCCAAGAGTTTTCCGAGTGTATCCAGCAGGCACTGCTACGAGTTACTCGTTGGCAGCGTTGCCAGGTCATTTTCATAAAAATCTGGACCAGTTAAAATATAAAATCTGGAAAAATCTGGAAGGCTCCAAAAAATCCTGCTTTAACATAATGCTATTGAAATCAAAGTGATGTGCCAATCTCCCGTAAAAATCGGTCA